AAAAAACTTGAAACTATATCTGAGAACAGCACAGTTGCGTGATTACAATCCAGTTTGCTAATGAATAATGAGTGCAATTCAGGTTTAAAAAAAGTTGTAGGATTATGACATAAAGAACCCCAAAATACCTATCCTTGTTTCTGTTTAAATCCTCATTGTTTCCTACTTCTCTCTCACACTGCTAGTGCCTTTTTCTCTGGACAGGCAAGTGAAGGTGTTTTCCCTCTTTCTCCTTTCTTAAAAAAATGGTTAAGAGGGGCAGCAGTCAAGCTGGGAAGCAAAGACAGCACATCGTGTTTGTGTAGAATATGTTTGGCCCTTTGAGAACACAAAATTCACACCACTCATGTTACAACACTTCACGTTTCACATCACGAAACCCGTCCTTACACTTGCTCTGCGTTTTCACCTTCCCTTTTTCCAGTTGTGGTAACCTACTTAATCTTTAAGACCCTACTATAAAAAAAAAAAACAACTTACTCTGAGTTTATTATGGACTTGCTAAGGAGTTGATGTATGGCTGAATCTTTGCAACTCACTGTAGGTGTTCTATAATGCCATGGGCTTAAAAAATCTAAATCTCCCAGCATAGATTATCCACCTGTTAACTTGTATTCTGTGTTTTGGTCCAGACCAAAGGACTGATTCTCAATTAAGTACACTGCCTGTGTAAAAGGCAATTAATTTTCAAGAGTAATAAACCAGAAAAAAATAAGTTACCTATGCCTATATGCAGTGCTCATTATATGAATATATATAACATGAAAGCTAAATCAAATTCAAAAGGAAGCAGGAGTGGAATATTAGTAATGATTAGATAGCAGCATAAGTTATGTGAAATCAAAGTCTTCCATAGGGAGACAAGGGCAAATGATAGGAGAAAAAAACCACCAACAACAAACAGATATAATGTACAACATGATTTGGGGCAAGTGAAGTCCCTTTAAGTTGACATTATTGCATTCTAAAAAAGCCAACTGAGTAGGTTTGACTTAAATCATTTGACATCAATTGAAGAGATCAGAGTCCTTCTCCTAGCAGACACACTTCAGCTGACAGGGAGTAAACCACAACTCCATTAACATGAATTCTGTCATTCATGACAGTCTCAGTGATGACTTATCACAGTTTACGAAGAATTCCAGTGGAGAAAACACTTAAAGGATGTAGTCCAAGGCTGCTGCGATGTGCTGTGGCAGTCTTTCATAGATAGATAAGGTTACTTACCAGTACTTGGGACTTCTGAGTTCTCCAGTTGAAAAGCACATTTATATTTTTGGTGTGTATATGTGTAATTTTTCATGTCCCTTGAGTGAACTCATTGCTACTGCTAAAACGTCTTCCACTGGGGATAAAAAAAAATCTACTGTCTTCTCAGAAGCCATCCAATATGTCAGAAACAAAACATAATGCACTGAAATTCAGATTCTCTAGTACTACTACCATAGTCATCATGTCTAGAGAATTAACTGCTGGTAGTTGACTGATAATAAATACCCAGATAGTATGCTCCCAGCACAAGGCAGATAACTCCTTAGCAGCTTTTGATTTATGTAGCACATCATCATCTTATTGTCCATCAGCCTTCAAAGAGGACATCTGAAGCACCAACATGGAGCTCTGACCCTAACAAGAGGGGATGAGATAACTATTTTTTAATAGCAGTATAATGTTACTACATTTTCCATTGATTCAGCCCAGCTTTCATACAATACATAGTTAAAGAGGAATTCTTAAGAATTTCGTTTTTTTTTTAAACCAACTTTACCAAAATGAAAAAAAGACAATAGAATGTGCAACTAAAAGAGCTTGTTCCACTTTGAATGGTAAATTGTTTACGGACTTGTCCCCTGCTGATTAATATCTTTTTCAATTCCCCGTCAAACCCTTTTTTGTAGGCACAATTTGCTTTGCAACAAAGACATCTACTACTTGCATCTCTCCATAAAAGACATTACAACCTTGTTTGGAACCTCTAGTCTTAGCATACATAAATAGTTTAAGGGTTAATATTAAGACATCCATACATATCAGTTATTGAACAAATACTTGAGTTCAAACTAAAACTTACTAAAACTTTCATTGTGTTAAATTATGCCTGAACAAAATAGGTACAGAGCTTTATCATTCTACTGGGTTTTTGTTTTTATATTGTTTGATATAATCAAAGTTTTGCTATTTGCATAACTAAATATATGTAAAGAAATTCAAACTCATTTTAGTATTCTGACGCAAATTAGATGCAATTAATCTCTCAACATTTATGCCTATCTCCAAGATATTCAAACCCCAGACAACTGCTAAAGGATCCCTTTATTAGACAGCCGAGAAAATAAATTCCTCAAGAGGTGATTCATCTCATCTAATGCAGAAACTAATTTTAGGATGATGTGAATCACCCTCTGGAGATGCTCGTTTCCTTCCATGCAGTGCTATATACTTCTAGCAGAATTTAACTTACGTGAAGATGTATACAACCTATTACATATTGTTCAAAACAGAAAAAGATTGATCATAAAATGTGATGCAGACTAAGAGAAGTCTGTTTTTCAAGAATTTGACTTGTTAGTGCAGTCATCTGCTACAGCAGCCGAACTTCATAAAGTATATAATGGGTTGAAATAGTGACCATATAAATCTGTCCAGATCAGCCCCTGATTTAATAGGGTTCAGATCAAATTTGAAAATAGGAAGCTAGAACTATAAACCTCAGAGATATCAAAAGTCAACCAATCAAAGGTAATCAAGCTGGCAACTTATTTTTGAATTCAGAAGCTCAAATCTGGACTTAATCAACAAGTATGCTCTCTTCTTACAAATGTTTACTATGAAAGATGTGTGCAACGTGCCAGCTTTACTTCAGGCATAAAACTAATTTCTACAGTTTAGCCTTATACATGTATTATGAATGACAAAATGGACATGAATTTTGAGAAGTCATTAAATTACATAATGATAACTATGTAGTCCATTAACATGAATAATATGGCAAAAACTAGGCAGTAAGCAATAAATTTTCATCTGCAGCCAGATTCAATTACAAAACTAGTTTTTTTTTTTTCTAGTGCTGTATATACCCACACCAACACGGACCTCTAAAGTGAAAATTCGGTGTAAATGCATCGTAACAGCTCGACAAGGATGTGCGGTTATAAGGGATGCTAAATGTGCAAAAATCCCTATCAGAAGTCCAGAGTATGTAAAAAGCCCATGATTTAAGAGTTCCGGCATGCGAATGTCAGAGGTCAAAACAATGAGCTATTAAAGATACTTTCACTTCCTCAGAAACAAAGTGCTGTCTTGGGCTCGGAGGTGAAAGGTTAGAAAAGCTGTTTATCTGCCGCTCTGTTCCCATTCTTCCTTCTGTCAGGAAATCCTACATGCTCCTACGCCACGCTCAGGGTTAACCCTGGGTCATGGGCATTCCCGCAGTAACTGCCCGGCGTTGATTTAAGTACGAAGACCACATGGCTGCAGGTTGCATTTCCTCAAAATGCACATTTGGCTGTAAAGGTCTGCTGAGCCTTGGTGGAAGGTAAAAGCCCAGATGCTTCACCACATTATTGCTAAAGGAAGAGCGAAGCCACAGCCATCGGTTTTCATAATTTATTATTTGGTCATTATAGCTAGAATAAAAAAATCCAGATATCTGCCCTGGAGCAGCATGCTTAACCAGTGGGAAACCTGGAGAGAGGGGGAGAGATTGTTCCTTCCCCTTTTCGGGGCAGGATCAGGCAGAGAGAGAGGAGCATAACAAGCAAAGGATCCACAGCACCGCTGGGTGATGCAGGGAAAGGGATACGCACTGCTGGGCTGCGGAGCTGTGAACACAAAGCAGCTACACAGAGCTGGAAGGGCCCCCGAAGTGTCTGCTGCTACGCAGGAAGCCACCGAACGGCTGCTGGATTAAGTGCAAAGCTGAAGGAAAGCACCTGCCTGCAGGCAAAGAGTGGGCAGGGAGAGGTTTATTTATAATCGCCTCTGTCTGTGGTCTGCCCCATTCTGAATTTTCTCAGTTTACAAAAGTTTATACATCTCGTTAATGTTGTTAACAAACCTACCTTGAAATTTAAAAAACCTGTCTGATTGTTGAAGGAGCTCGTTATAAAGAAAACGTCAAGGAACTCGTGGCTCAACGCTCTAGCTGACCCAAGGAATCATCAAATATAAATACTAGGTACAATATCTATTAGCATTATTTGCACACATTAGTTTCATACAACGTGCATACCTAATCATACATATTGGTAATTTCGTTTGAAGAATCACTATAAGAAGAAACCCAACATCGTTACACTTCCCAAGCTGCAGGCGACACAAAGGAGCACACCTTTATGCACACAATGTCAGGCAGCAGATTCGTGCCACAGTGTAAAATGCTAACGTTCATTTATCAGAAAATACTTTTGATCCTAAATAAAAAAACATGGTGATTTTATATTTGCTATTACAGACAAGTTCAAAACTACCTCATTTTTTTCCACCTTTTTTTTTTTTTCAGTAATTTTAGATTATTTATTCAACACTTTCATTGGCTTTCAATAAAGAAAAATATTTACTACCAAATTATTTTTGACAGAAATCAAAACATTCAATAGCAAAAATATTTAAACATAAATATTAAGCAAATAATAATGCATTAACACAAATACTAAGACATAAAAATTACCGAAGAAATCTTGAGATGACTTTGTAGGCTTTTCTTTTTAAGAAGAAGTATTTTTTACAGAATAAAAATACATCAGCTTTATTCCCGATGTTAGGTGAGTTTGCAGATATCAGAGAAATACAGTGTATAACCATAATCAAAGTGTGCCCTCTCTATCTGCAAGCCTAGAAGTAGCTTCTTCAGATTATCACGGACAGAACAACACCCCCAGTTTCTGTACTTTATTTGTTTCTAAAACCAGAACAAGCTGTTTTAGTCATTTGATCATTAAATTTTTATATTTTTGCAAGGAGTTTTAGAGCAGAGACTATTGTAGCAGTTATGTTCTTACCAGATTTATCAGCTGAGTGTGGACGATATCTTCCACCAATATTGCAGACTCATGGAGCGGCCTGCGAGCATCTCCTAAGGAAAACCTGAAAGAATTAAATTTATTGCAAGGTTATGAAAACGAGTTAAATAGAAACAAAGTAGGTGGTCTCAAAATAAAAAACATCTGAATAAGAACAACAAGCTTAATACACCTGTATACCATATGGAAATGGATCACTGCCTGTGTTGCAAGGAATATAAATCAAAGTGAGTAATCTGATTGTAGCAACAAAAGAGATGCAAGAATGTATTTGAACATACATAGCGAAAAAAAGCTGAAAAGTGCAGGAGAAAGGAGGAAAATCCAGTTCGTTAAGGAAAGCATTAAAAAAAAAAAAAGAAAAAAAAAAGTAGGCAAAGCTGTAGTATGGGCTCCGCTAGCAGCCTGTATTTGCAGTCCCCTTCACCTACAAAATTACCAAATAACTATGTTAATAGGTAAACTATTACCAGGTATTTTATCCCATATCTACATGTTAGTGACAAGATATGGAAAGAACTACTTGAAATGAGGGTAAACATTTTTTACATACTAATATATGAGAAGCTCTTACAGTCTGTATTGCAAGACTAAATGACTCGAAGTCAAGAAGAGATGATAGTGTTCATATACCATCACAAACAAAAGGCAAAGCAATTGGAATAGAGAACATAACATGGGAGATTGGGATGATAGGCTTTTTGCAAGACTATCTTCACCAATAAATAACAGAACTTGCTCTCTACACCTGCCTTCACTGCTAGTCACTCAGCTAGAGCTGGGATACTCTTTTGCTCTGAGATGGGTAGTAGACATTGCCATTACCAGCTTTCTGGTAAAGATTGTAGGTACTGAAGAAAGCCTTCTGGCTCACTCCAGAGCCTGTGCTTTTCCCATACAGTGCCCCCGAAGTCCTACAAAACTGTTAATCTTCAGCGTGGATGGTGTGCTTCAGGTTCAGATCCAGGGCACTTAAATTGAAATGTTCAGGACATCCATCTAGACTTTCAGATTTATTACTTGTAGCTGTTACCCTTCAGAGAGGCAGTTGATGACCCAGTGAAGGTCTTTTAGTGTCCAAAATGACCGTAGATGGCAACCAAAGTTCCCTCCTAACCATTCAAGGTCAGTGAGTCTGGAGAGCTGTCTGCTCCTCCCTAAGCAGATACCGTCATCTGGGTAGTTGAACTGTGATCTAGAAGAAGGAAAAGGGCTCTTATTCTATGTAGTTTTCCCTTATCACATAAGGCACAAAAAGATGTTATTTGCTTTAGCTGGCTACTATTTGTTTTTCGCTTCCAAACCCCTACGTTTTCACTTCAGTGCCATGTAGTGGATATGGGGTATTTAAGCTTCCTAGCTATGATTCTCCATGCCTTGAGAATTTCCCCACCACCACCTTATTTATTTATTTATTTATTAATGCTAAACAAAGCCTTGAAAAAATGTGTTAATGTATCAACCATACTACTCACTAAAGAAGGATGCTATAAGTGAGTAACTCTGGTTTTGCTTTCTCAGCCATTTTTGTAAATGACAGAGGATTCAAGAACACCCAAATCCTTCACTTTCTCTTATCTCAGTTCTTTTGCTAACATAAAAAAGAAGGACACATTTTTCCTTGTTGTGATGAACAGAATTAAAAACTGACTCAAGCATTTTCAGAGTAAGCATTAAATGTTGTCCTGCTACTTATGAACAAAGGATCAGAGCAACTTGCCAGTGCTGGGAGGCAGACCAGAGCTGTGGTCTGCAGCTGCTTGGACACCTGCACATCACAGCTTTCCTAAAAGCTGAATCTCTCAGTCAGAACAAACCAGCTGAAATCTGGTGTCTAAGTGGACTTCAGCAGGCACAATATTTTTGAAATAAAATTATTCCAACAATGGAAGTCTCCAGAAATCAAAGGCAGTCATGAAACACAAGTCATTAATCATTCTTAAGGCTGACTGGTTGCTCTATTTCCAGTCGCTCCATATCGGACTTTTGGCTAAATTATTTTTAAAACTTAAAGCTGTTAATTCCAAAGCGGTTGCAATGGGGCCCAACAAGGGCTCACTGAAAATACCTTATCATTCCACGAATATCGAAATAAAAAAGCTATTCCAGTCTTACTTCAGTATGGCAGTGAAAGACCACTTGGTGATTTCAAATATTGCCTCAGGGCATTTCTAAAAAGCCCTGCTCTCTTTCCACCCAAAAATGAGCTTTTAAAATTAGAAAACATATGCAGGAAAATATATTCACTGTAACTGAAATGCTACAGGCCAAAAGTAACATTGCAGTTTCTTATTAAAATAGTTTAATTTTATTTATAAGATTAAAATATTCATGGGTGATTGGTTATATCAATTATTTTCTTACAGATGAATTCCTTCTCCTGCAGTAAAATAAAACAATACTTTATTTACAAACAACTTATTTTTTACTATGGAATCACAGTACTTAAAGAGGTACACAGTAGCATTTTTTTCCTTTATCTAGTAATGAAATGATATCCAGTATTCCTCACACACCTTTTGAAATTTTAATGATATTCAATTTCACCTTGACATCTCTAAGAGCACAGCACAAACACTCAGGCAACATCTAAGCGTGCCCCACTGTTCTGCGCTAGTTGTAGGTGGAGAAAATTACACTCTATCTTTGTTCACTATCATTTGTCTCTTATTTAGACTATCAGCAATTTAAAGAGATGCTCATGTTTTATAACGTATTGTACAACATCTCTAAAGTAGGGACAACTCAGTAATTTTCTTCTCCATTATGCAGGAGTGCACGCATACACGAATTATAATGTCTGACACTTCCTAAGACTACAAGCACAGAACAGCAGACCAGATCCTATTAAATATTTTATAAACTGCAAATACCTGTATATTATATAGGAAATACATATAAAAGTAGAAATATTTATTACGATATTACACTGGAATGTAAAATAATATGAAAAAAGTCACAGATTTAAAACAATTGCTCATAAATGATAAAGCATAAGTATTTCATTTTTATGAGTTATGCATATGTAAATTGCTAGAAAAAAATGTTTTTTTCTAATCACACCATGCATACAAGAACTGAATTCAGCCATTACAATCATAATATGTTGTTCATTCTCACTTTTCTTTAATATTTTTAAATCATTTATTTTTCTTTACAAATTTAAAATACAAACCAAAAAATATATATGTAAGAGAGTGGTAAATGCCTGTTTGCTAGCATTATGATCTTGAACATCAATTACTTTTGTTCATAGATTTATTAACAACCATGCAAAGGGAAGCTTTTCTGGTTTTCTTTTTCTGAAAACAATAAAGCACAAGAACAAAACTATTTTTAAGGCAGAGTACTGACTCTACACTGAGATACCTTCCCTGTCTGCATTTCTCTCTCAGAGGTAACTGTCAGCTCCAAACATGGCATGAAATGTAGAAGAGATGCAATCAAGATACTAAATATTGACTGACACCAAATCTTTTTGCTCCATTCTGATGCAAAGGAGATGTTAGGAGATGCTGAAATTCTGCACTGGAACACAAAGAAAAGAGTTATAACAAAATACAATACTTGTTTACATAGAAAATCAAGTTGAAAATCAAGTTCCAGGTGCACTTACTTTCTTTCTATGTCTGTTCCACTCTTTCTGACTTCAGAAGCTATTTGTATCTCGGTTTGCCTTCACTGTTTTCCCATGTAACTTCTGCCAACTCCTTTCCCACATACAGAAATCTAGATGCTGAAATCTAGATGTGTTCTCAGCAAAAAGCAAAAACCAGTACACCTCCTCACAGCTGCTTAGTGTTGTGTGTTTTGTTTTTTTTTTAAAGAAAATGGATTTTTTAGATGCTAAAAAGGTTTGCGTTTGATACTTGCTAATTACATTTGCAAAGCATTTGATATGTTTCTTACCATCAGCTCTATATTCTAACATGTTTATAGTATATTGTATATACTATACATAGTATAATATATGTATATTATCTTAAAATACAAAACACAAAGGATTTTTTTAACCCCTTCTGCTACTGGAAATAACGCAATATGGAGGTAATTGCAAATTCACAAGCAGTAAAGTAGTAAACTCTTCTGTTTTTGTCCCTACATTTCTCATTGTATTTTTCCATAGCAGAATAAACATTGACTGAAGAATCAGGAGCTCAGATTTTTGCCAAGTTACAGAACATGAGGTACGTTAAGAGCCAAAGGAAAATCCTAAAAAAAAAAAAAAAAGAAAAAAAGGAAACCAAAATTTGGTGCCCTTGCTTCTGGTGACTGAAACTAAAGTTGGTATTTTAATATAACTTATGAATTTCATTTCACATTTGCTTTGTTTTTTAATGGTTTGTTTGTTAGAGAGTCCTTAAAAGAACTTTCCATTTGCTTGAAATATAAGTAAGTCTTCCTACGAACCATACACAAATTCTGTTGAAAATAGAAAAGAGCAGTTTCTCCACAGGTAAATACTGACGAGGAAATATAGTAAAATACATTAGCGGTTCATCAAAATGGTAAATCGATATGGAAGACTGTCCTGACAATAGAAGCATCTACCCATTATGCATGTCATACAGTAAAGTAAAGCTTTCTTAGATGATCCAATTTCAAAGGTTTGTCTGTTCTAAGGAAACATTTTTACAAGGGGGTGATCAGCTTACGCGTGTTTTCACAGAAGTATTAAAATAGTAGCATGGAGAAAGAAAAGATTGCTGCAGCTCTTTTATTGTTTACTTTTAGCTTTTATTTCTAATTTATTTAAGTTTCTGTAATGATATTTCCTGGCTCATCAAAACGGCTAAATGTCCAACCCAATAAGTGGAATATCATGGCATACTATGTGTAAACACACGCACGTATATATAGACTTGGCACGTGCTAATACACAACATCTACTCATGGTACAGAGACCTCCGTTGGAAGAGCCTCAAAATCTTGGGCAGCTACAGAAGTAGATAAAGCTACATTTCTTGGGGTTTTAAAAGCTTGCAAAGGTATCGGGCCAGGCACAGCACAGACTTGCTTCAAAAACCCTGATGCAGAGCTCTCCAGGTGGCCAGACCACCAGGA